TGAGGATGACTGTTGCCTGTTTAGCCATTTCATGAAGTGAGGCTGCAGTAGTGATATCACGAATCATCATTCCAACTTCAAGTGCTAGTGTCGATCTTTCCAGCCTCAGGTAGCCCTCTGCAGCACTCGCTGCAGCTTCTACTGGGACCGGCCTGCACCACCCAGAGCAGGTGGGAGTTCCCTTCCACCTGCTCCTGGGCCACTTCCTCAATCACAAACTGGCCAGTGAAGCCTGAGGTGCTGAACAGTACCAGCTGGAAAGGCCTCTGCGGTCTCCATGACAAGCCCACAGCGAGCAGAGGCTCAGGAGGGCTGAGGCCTGGGGCGGCTCATACGTGATTTATTTTTAAATGAATTAAAATTTTAAGAAATTAGAAAAATTTGGAAATTATTGCTAATGGATTTGTTTAGAAATCAACTAGGTTATATATGCTAGAAATATAGGTATTTTTGGAAGGGAAAAGATAACCTATGGTAACATTTAGAAGACATTGATATGCAAATTATCCATGTAGAAATACCCATTTGTTGAGAGAACCAGCTCTGTGGTTATAACTATATAATGGCAAATATAACTATCAGTGGGCAGGAAAGAGCTGCTCAAGTGAGTCTTTGACGCAAGTGGCAGAAGGAATTAGAAAAGAAATTGAACAACCTAATGTTTGCGTCTTTCTGTCTTATAATGGAAGAGAAGACTGAATGCTTTTTATGGTGTATTTTTACCTGAGGAACTTTAGGAGTAGAGTTGGTTTTCTAAATCAGGGGTCCCCAACCCCTGGGCCCCGGACCAGTACTGGTCCGTGGCCTGTTAGAAACCAGGCCACATAGCAGGAGGTGAACAGCGGGTGAGCAGCAAAGCATGTGTTTGCAGCCACTCTCCAACGCTAGCATCACCACCTCAGCTCCACCTCAGATCATCAGGCGTTAGATTCTCATAGGAGCACTGGTCCCTGGTGCCAAAAAGGCTGGGGACCACTGTTCTAAATGTTGATAATATTTTTTTTTGCTGGAGGGGAAGTCAGGAGGAGTTTGTGTTTGTGTTCCTTTAATTTCTCAGGTTTGTTTCTAAATTTACCTAGATTTACTTCCCTTTGGAGCACCTGCCTGATAGGATATTTCCTCATACCAGTGTTTTAGAATAAGGAAATCTTGTTGAATCATCATCATAATAACACTAGCTAAAATCCGTTGATTGCTTTCTATGTGCCAGGCCCTGTGCTAAGCATTTTCTAAGCAGTGGCTTAGAACAGTCAACTGACTAGCTCATAGTCATACATCTGATACCTCACACCTAATAGGATTCAGGCACTGGCACCAAAGTTTTGTTTTTAACCACTTCTAGAGTTATTTGGAACTGGGAGTGATGTCTGAAACAGTCTTGACACTGGATTATAGAGATAGCCATCTACTCAAGAGACTAATCACTCTGCCAGAGGTCACATCTGGAGATTCAGCAGTCCTGAAACCATTAGGGAAATAGTATAATTTGGTTTACTATTTTTAAAATGTATTGGAAAATTATAACACTAAATGCATATATTTGAAAAGAGGGAAAGTCTCAGATCAATAAACTCCCACCTCAAGAAACTAGAGGGGAAAAAGCAAAAAATAAACTAAGGTAGAAAGAGGGAATGAATAAAGAGCGGAAATCAATAACATTGAATAAAAGAAAAACAAAAGAGAAAAGCTGGTTCTTTGAGAAATCAATAGAACTGACAAACCTCTAGCAAGGCTGACAGCAAAAAATGAGAGAACTCACAAATTATTGGTATCAGGCATTAAACAGGATATCACTACAGACCCTGCAGACATCAAAAGGATAGTAACAGGCCACTGTGAACAACTATATACACATAGATTTGACAATTTAGATGAAATGGACCAATTCCTTGAAAAATGCAAACTTCTACAACTCACCCAGTATCAAACATAATGTGAGTAGTCCTATAACTGTTATGGAAGTTAAATTCATAATTTAAAAACTCTCGAAAAAGATATCTGCTGGTCCAGATTGTTTCACTGGAGAATTCTCCAAACTTTTAAAGAATAAAGCCAATTCTACATGATCCCTTCCGGAAACATAGAAGATAAGGGAATACTTCCCAACTCATTCTAAGAAGCAGTGTTACTCTGGTACCCAAACCAGACGAATAAATGCATAAACAAATCTACACACCAATATCTTCTAGATAGAAAAGCTCAACATACTTATGAATGTGTATTATGTACTATAAACAACTATAGTACATAAAAAAGTATTACGTACTATAAACAGCTGGGGTTTATTCCAGAGGTGCAGAGCTGGTTCAATATTTGTCCATGTATTCCATCTTATGAAAAGGCTAAAGAATATTTGGAATGCTTGGGAAAATGTTTTCTTCTCAATGGCCATTCCTACAAAGGTCAGAAGGGAGAGGGGGAATGTTAGTGACTAACATTCACCGAGCACCTAAAAGTGGAAGAACTGTGCTCAGCCTCTGGGAGGATGACCTACACGCGCAGCCTGCCCTGTAGCTCTTTTTGGAATTGACTAGCATTGCTGAAAAAGGCCTTACTACATACCAGATGACTTTTTAATATGCTGGAATTTTTCCATTTTTTTCCCCCTCAAACAGTTGTAAACCTTCACATGAGTGCCCACTGGGGAGGTACTCTTCTAGACTGTTCCAAGTGCTACCAATCATTTAGGATTTACCTTAACGATATACACAAGACAGAAGACACTAATACAATAACTCGCTTAGACAGTGGTCAACAGCGAAGACAGCAGTACACCAGTTACAGAAATAATTAGAACGTTTATAATCCCCCTGGGTTGATTTTTCCTGAGAAATGGGCCGTCCTGGGGATTGTGCAGGGACGGGCGTAGTCAAGCAAAGTTAGAGTGACAGTTTGTTCTGGGCAGCACTTTTGTTTCACCGAGGCTACTTGACGGCACTGCGTGTTTTAACGTCCACGAAGCTCATTTGTTTCACGTCACGCTAACAGTTTACTCCTGAGATTTGCAGCGGAAAGGCCAAATTAACGTACAGGTCTGGCTGATCTGACTTGATTGGAAATAGCGGCAATTTTGCCATGAGGTCGCTGCTCCGCACAGAGTGGACTTTGCGCTGGCCCCTGTGAACCCTCCTTTGACAGCCACCCCGCCGCGCTCCCCCTTCCCGCGCACGTGCGCTGCCGGGTCTCCCAGATCGCCCCCGCTCCACTTTCTGCGCAGGTGCAAGGGAAGCCCCGCCTCACCCCATCCCCGCGCACTCCAAAAGTCACGATCGTGGAGGGCATCTTCTGCAGCCAATCAACAGCCACTTTGGGCGGGGGCGCTTTGGGGGTAGGTCGGAGGAGGGCGGGCCATTTGAGTGACACGGATTCTGACCAATCATCGGAGGCCGTGCGCTGGCCGTCCCCTCTGTGGCTCCGGCCGCCCTGTTCCCGTCGCCGGTCCCGGGAGCGAGAATGACCCCGCCCTGGCTTGTTTAAAGTGCACGCTCTGTTCCGTCCGGCTCCGCTGGTGTCTGCAGGGCCTGAGGGTCGCCGCTTTCCGAAATGGCCGAGGCGTCGGACAAGACCGTCAAGTACTACACCCTGGAAGAGATCCGGAAACACAACCACAGCAAGAGCACCTGGGTGATCCTGCACCAGAAAGTGTATGATTTGACCAAATTTTTGGAGGAGGTGAGTTGGTGAGGCGCGACGCGGACCCAGGCTTGAGGGTTCCCTGCCGTGACGGTGTTTCGCATCGCCGCAGGATTGACGTGCGCGGCACTGTGTGCGCGCCCGAGGCTGCTCACCCAGCTCTGCACACCTGGGCCTGGTCCCCGCGCCGGCACACCTGTGTGTGCGCCCCCAAGTCTTCACATCTCTCTGTGCATACCTGTCTCAGCACATCCGGAGTCAATCCTAGTTTCTGCGCCCTGTGTCCGCACACATGGGAATGTCTCCGCGTCTGCGCCTCCGGAGCCAGCACACCTGTGCGAGCCCACCTGGGAGCCACCGGAGGCGCCTAGGCTAGCGCGGCGGCCGGGTGAGCACCATTCAGCACTCGGTGGGAAGCAAAATCGCGGCTGGAGCTGCTTGCCTAGCAGAGGGCGCAGCTACGCCGATGGGTTTTGAAAGATCCCTTTTATCCTTGAGTTTGCGTAGATTGCAGCCTCCATGTGGGTGGGACAGGGGTCATTCCACTTCAGTTATGCCCCGAGTGGATTCCTGATAGCCGGTTGGAGACTACCCACCTCGCAAGCTGTGGGATCCCGCAGGAGGGGACCCTGAGTTTTTTCCGCGGTGAGAGTGTGTGGGCTGCACGCGCTCTCTCCCAGCTCCCAGAGGCCCACCCCACCACCCACCCGCTGTCATCTAGAAGGCACTCAATAATTGTTAACGAATCCAATGGGGACTTTACAGCGAGGTAAATAAAGTACAGAACTCCTGGGGCTGTGGGTGTGGGTGTGTGGCTGGCCTCGATGAAGAAGGAAGAGCGACAGAGTAGTAAAAACGCTAACGGTGGAACTTGATCCTTCCTTAAGCAACTTTGGAAGTTTTAAAACAACTTTGCTTAACTTAAAGGAAAACGTTCCTTTTATAAGATCCTATGCTGTAGGTTAGGACTTTTGCAGTAAATTCCAAGGGGATTTTCTTTGCCACCTCTGGATGCGTTTTATCACTATGGGGGAGTCTCAGTCATAAATCTTAACACTTAACCTTTCCCCAGACAATAAAGGAGAATGTTATGGGAATTCTTTACATAATTTGCCGGAATAACTAAGATAAAGAGGCCTAAGCTTAGCTGAATCAATTGGGACTTTTGTTTTGCAGAGATTTTTTTTTTTTGAACTGCTTTTAAAAATGTTGAAGTTTATTACCAAGATATTTTATTATGAACTTGTTACTTGGTGGAGTGCCAAAAGATAAAATAGTGTCCCAATTTAGTTAGGAGTGGTTTCTGGTTGGGAGTCACATTTGAACTGTCTCTTCTTCTGAACTTCAATTTATTTGCTGTTAGAGTTTCTTGAACTAAAGACCCTGATTGTAACATCAGGTGTAATTGACTCTAAACGTCTGCTTGCAGCTGTCCCTTGTGCCCTGCCTGGTATGAATTATTCTGGGTTTCTGAGATCCCTTCTTTCTTTTTCTTTCTTTCTTTCTTTCTTTCTTTTTCTTTCTTTCTTTCTTTCTTTTTTTTCTTTTCAAAAAAAAAAATCTTTTCTTAAATCTTAACACTTAACCTTTCCCCAGACAATAAAGGAGAATGTTATGGGAATTCTTTACATAATTTGCCGGAATAACTAAGATAAAGAGGCCTAAGCTTAGCTGAATCAATTGGGACTTTTGTTTTGCAGAGATTTTTTTTTTTTGAACTGCTTTTAAAAATGTTGAAGTTTATTACCAAGATATTTTATTATGAACTTGTTACTTGGTGGAGTGCCAAAAGATAAAATAGTGTCCCAATTTAGTTAGGAGTGGTTTCTGGTTGGGAGTCACATTTGAACTGTCTCTTCTTCTGAACTTCAATTTATTTGCTGTTAGAGTTTCTTGAACTAAAGACCCTGATTGTAACATCAGGTGTAATTGACTCTAAACGTCTGCTTGCAGCTGTCCCTTGTGCCCTGCCTGGTATGAATTATTCTGGGTTTCTGAGATCCCTTCTTTCTTTTTCTTTCTTTCTTTCTTTCTTTCTTTTTCTTTCTTTCTTTTTCATTCTTTCTCTTTCTTTCTTTTCTTCCTTTTCTTTCTTCCCTTTCTTTCTTTTCTTTCTGTCTATTAAATAATAAAGAGTAGTCTTTATAAATGAATAATAGGCTATTATTCTGTCCTAAACATTGTGTTGTACAGGAGGACTTCCAGACCTCCCCCCACCAGATGTCAGTAGTATCCCCCTTCCCCACTTGTGACAACCAAAAATGTCTCCAGTTATTGCCAAAAGTCCCCTTGGGGACAAAAATCCCCACCTTAAAATTTGTTTTATATAACTTTTAAGGGTAAATTTCTCAGAAGGAGATAGAGAAGGTCATTAAACCCTACCATAAATCATTTACATTTCATTCTTCTGAGGCAAGAAAGGGGCAAGAGATGCAAACAAGGCGGTCAGTGGCTAAGTTAGCTGACAACAGATTCCTTTATTCTTTCTCACTCAGTTTTCAGTACTATCTTTGAAAGTAGCTTGGGGAGAATGCCTCTCAAATAAAATGTAATGAAAGGAGTTTATCCCTAATATTTGATAACTAATACTTATAGTGTGGTAGCAAAAAACTTACTATTTATAATGAGATAGATAAAACCCAGTTTACAGTGGTTCCTATACGCTTTGCTTTTCTCAGTTGGTCCTAGGCACAGCCCTCCTTGCAGTCACCCCACTGGGGCTGGAGTTTGGCTCATGTGCTCTCTCTGCTCCTCATGCCCTCCCTTTTGATTAGTTGATGAGGTATCTGCTGAGCTCCGGGAGCCTCTCTCTCCTTCACCAGACTGGAACCCGAGTGGAAGCTTCCATTCCAGGAAGAGGAATGATAAAGCAGTGCTGCGGACAGGAATGGTGACATAGAAAGCCGGTCAGCTGTCCCAGAGGGCAGTGGGAGCCTCAGGCTGGGCTCTCTAGTAAATGGGGCCTCAAGTCCGCAGGGGCGGGAGTGGAGAGGACGGGGCTGGTGCACAGCCTGGCGTGGGCTGAGGTAGAAGAGGAAGGCGGCTGACGCCATGGCTGTGGACCAATGAGAGTGACAGTGTGCTTGCCGGCCTGTTCCAGCCGGCCATCGTAGGTGCCAGCCTTCCCACAATAGCCTGATTCCACTTTTGGGGACACGTGTTCAGCGTGCTGTCTTTACTGTTTGTTCTCACTTTCTGTGACCATCTCTGCGTAATGCAGTGTGCTAGGCTTTCAGCTTCCTGCCCCAGCATGGCCGTCCTGGGACCCTTGATAGGGTTGCCATGTGAGGGCTAAAATCTTCAATGCCTTTGCTATTTTTTAAGGAAGTTTGATTATATTGTGAATCTCATACTACTAAAAAGCTGCAGTTGCCAATATGTCTTTGATCAATGTAAAATAGGAATGTTATTATGTAACATGTAGTTTGACAAATAAAACTAGAAATTATGAAAGCCATAGGAGGAAAGGGTGGTAAAGGTGGCCCAGGCATTGTGGGTAAACCAGCTGCAGAGCCTCTAGGCCACCAGGGAATGTGAGCCTGAGGGCAGGGCTGCTTTGTATATTTCTACAAAATTTTTTTTGGTAACTTTTTGCTACTTTTGAGAAGAGGTTTTAAGAGTGCTTGTGAGGCTACTTTGTTTTCTTCATTTTAATGTTTCAAAACAAACACTGGAGATTGCTAACTTTTGCTTTTTATTTCTCTTTAAGGTAGATGGAAACTAAGGAAGGGAGGACAGATTATGCAGGCTAGCTTGGGTAACTCAAGGAATACATGATGCTTATTTCTACTTAATGCAGGTATCTATTCTAAAAGTTCTCCCAAACCACAGAAGACTAGCAATAAATACCTTTTAATATAATGGAGTCTGAACAACCTTTGCCCCACTAGACATTCATGGGAAAGTATTGGATTGGGGTGAGGAAAACTAGATCTAAACCTTAGACCTATTGTTGAGGTGACCCAGGCAAGTCAGGTAAATTCTCTGTCATTTTCTTCCTTCTTCAGTAGGGAACATTCTGTCACCTGCATCTACCTCAGGCTTGTGAACGTTGGCAGGAACAATGTATATGAAAATACTTGGAAAAGTATGTAAATATTTTAAGTTAAAGTTTTACAAATAGTTATAATGATTTTGTTATGAGGTGGGTCTAATATTTATTTAGTAGGAACTCAACTCAGATTATAGTTTTAGCAAACAAAAATGGTTCAAAATACAAATAGTCACTTGAAGTATAAATTTTCAGGAATGTATGTGGGGCATAGTGGGATACCATCTTTTTTCTGGAGCTTTAAAAGTGCAGCTTTATTATTTTGGGGGAAAACAACACTACGTGGTTATTATAAGGAACCGGACAATGTGGAAACATGCAAAGAAGACTCTCCAAGCTTCCCGGAATTCCACTGTGCAGAGGTGACCACCGAAAACGTCGCGGGGGACATTGTCCAGACTACGCTAGATGCACCCTCCGTGCGATGACCCGCTTTACGGAATCGGCCCGCCCGCACTGCCTGCTCCGTGGCAGCGAGCCCTGTTTTCCCTGGCTGCCTCCTCGTTGCAGGAACGTTCCAGCAGCACGGAACCACTCCCCCTCTTGCACACTCCGTTTGAGTTTCTACCTGCGGTTATCTCCATAGGAGAAGCTCGAACGGCCATGCCGTTTTCGTATTTGCTGCATGTCCCCGAGCTGCCCGTGTCATTCGTACCAGTGACCACTCCCAAGGGCCTCACACCAGTGAGGGTCTGTCCCAGGTCTGTGTTCTCCTTAGTCGTTGGGAGACCTGGTGATTCCCCACGTCCTCCTCTGAATTACTTGGATGTGTGTTTCTGTCAGAAAGGGAAATGGAAGGAAATGTTTTAGCCTCGTTAACATAAATTCTCTTAAAAGTGCAGCTGCAGCAAGTGATGCCTTGTTTACCCCAGCGTGAGCTATTATCAGCAGTGCTGGTCTGTTTCTGAGGGCTCGGTAGAGCGACCCAAGATGGCAGCAGACTCAGCGAGGGTTTAGCGGTGGCTCAGGCATTCTCTACAGCTTCCTA